TCATATGTCCATATTCCCCGGAATTCAAAATATTTCTAACCTTTAACCGAATTACTGTCCCTCTTACACCTACCTTATCCCGCATTTGGTGGCATTCATCGCACAGGTAACCATATTTATATAAAAACGGCGGCAGTGTGTCTGGACCTTGTGGGTATTCGCTTCGCTAGCGCTCACCCTATATAAGCCATTAACGTCCGTTTAACAACACTGCTATGTGGCGGATGTGACATGCCGCTAAATAAAGTCACAGCTTACGGATCTCACCCTACACTACATCCATATGGACGCAAACCATCGCCAATAGCCACCTACGGTCATCGGTCGCTTACCCTGGACTTAGGTCTTCGGCGCACGCTCCGATGGGTAATCGCCGTCGCTACAGTCCCGTTTGCCATCATCGGCATTGACTTTCTCAGGCATTTCATCCTTTTGATCGATGCGAAACGCCAGAGGATAGTCGACACTGCAACGAACTTCACTGTGTGTGGCATCATCGCCAAAAGCGCAGCTATACCACTGAACTACGCCTTTCCCATGACCACGTCAGAATACGCCAACCGCTTTTCCAGTATTCCAAGCTCGTTCATCTAATGAACGCAGCTTTGCTCGTGGGATCCCAAGTCACGCACCACATCCGGACGAATGGCACCCGTCTCATTCCGCACACGCCGACTATCGCCCGAGAAAATCTAGGTAGCTAGGGTGGAGTTTTGGCAAATGCTAGAACTGGGAATACTCCTCCCTTCCGACAGCCCTTGTTCCTCTCCACTGCAGATGGTCCGAGAGAAATCTGGTGGCTGGTGTCCTTGCGGTGATTACCACGCACTCATTCGGCTTACTGTCCAGGTAGGTATCCGATCCCACACATGCAGGACCTTAACACATGCCTTACCAGCAAGACGATCTTCGGCAAGATCGATCTGGTTCGCGCCTGTCACTAGATGCTTGTAGAAGAAAATGCCCTTCTGAAAACAGCCGTTATCACTCCTTTCGGCTTGCTTGAATTTTTTAAGAATGCCATTTGGAATGTGCAACGCCGCACAAAATTTCCAGTGCTTTATCTGCGATGTCACTCGTGGCCTACACTTCGCTAATTCCTACCTCGATGATATTTTAGTTGCCAATTCCTTGGAACATGAGCACGTCGACCACATTCACGTTCTCTTCCAGCGCTTGACCCAACACTGTGTCACAGTCAACCCGAATAAGATCGAAATCGACAAAGCAACGGTAGAATTCTTAGGCCACCCCGTTTTGTAGTTTAATATCGAAACTCTTTCTGCTAAGATTCAGGCAATCAAGGTCTACCTAGTTCCGACTTCCTACCAGCACCTCAGTCGATTTTGTGGTTTGGCCAACTACTATCGACGCTTCATACTGCGCTGTGTTCAGCCCAGGCAGCCTCTGACTGATCTACGAACCGGTTGGTCCCCAAACGCCTAGCTAGGCTTTGCGGACGAGGACGCCCGGATTTCGCCGTGGGACGAGGACAGTGGACTGGAGTGCGGTGGGGGTGACATCTCCCAAGCGCACAGTCGGGTTTGCAGCAAAGGAAAGGTCCTGTCGGCCTGTTTTCTGGACCAGCCAGTTTTCTGCAGTCCGGGCACCCCGCCCTGACAGCCCACCGATGAAACACTCTTGTCCACACGATCATCATAATTAATAAATAACAAAAACCTGGACCCAGCGAACTCTGCTACACACCGCACATTGGAGGCTATTACTCACGCCTATGCAACTATGCGCACCCTTCCTTACCTACCGTTTTCCCCCACTAACAGCTCCATCGAAGGCTTCCATCCTTCAGCCTTCCAGGGGAAGGCCCTTGTAGTGTACCGGAAAACACGCTCTTTCAGTATTTTGTGACAACAGATTTTACGTTTGTTTTAACCGTCAAAACGTTCACTTGTTTTACTGACGGCACATTCGTTGACACAAAGCGGCTTGGTGAGCATCCTGCTGCACCGGTTCTCGCACTGGTTGATTCGCTTCCTGTTTTTGTAGCCTGCACAATATACGTTGTGTTCAGTCGCCTCCAAATTCTATTCTCTTCCGTATTTGACACTTCTCTTACGTATCATTGAGTACCGACTAATATCCCAGCCTCCACTTAACGCATTCCGCTAAGTGAGCTTTTGGTGGTGGATAAAATATTTATCTGGCAAACAGCTCAAGAAGAATCTTTTGAGGAAGGTCGGACTACCTTGTGCGAAGCACCGGTGCTTAGTTACCCTGATACGTTGCCGTCTTCCGGCACTTTCATCCTAGACACGGATGCTAGCGATGCAGGCATCAAGCAGTGCTCTCACAGCGAATGCAAGAGGGAACCGAACCAGTCAATGAATATGCAGGCAGTAGCCTATCAAAGATGAAGCTAACTACTACACACCTAGTAAAGATATGCGTGTCTTCGTGAGCTTCAACAAACAATTCCGCCACTACCTGCTAGGCCGCAAGTCCATCCTGCGCACCGATCACTAGTCCTTGATCTGGCTTAAGGACTTTCGTGATCTGGAAGGACAAATTGCCAGTGGGCAGAAACAGTTACAGGAGTAGGACTTCGAATGTCAACACCGACTGGGCACAATGCATGCAAACGCCGACACGTTATCTCGGAGACCTACTAGAAACCATGTCCATGATGCACAAGCGCATGCGTATCCGCAATTATCCTTGACGCCTCTGAAACGGAGGAGTGAACTAGCCTACTGCCAGCTGACCAGGGTTGAGCCTAATGTACGACCGCGTCGCACAAAACAAAGACAGCCCAACACATCAAGAAGTGGCCGGTACCAGCTGGGAGGCGAAATGCGTGTTGCCGCTTTAGCCACATTTAAGCCTGACTGATTGAATCATGTATTTCCAGAATGATCCTACATACTTACGAGGAATTGCTGTCCCAACAGCTGTAACTCAGGAAGTGATGCGAAGAATACATGAAGAGTTAAGACATGCGAGACAGAACAAGCTGGACGGGACTATCCGCCACCGATTCTGGTGGCCACACTTTCGGCGCAACATCGCAAATTACTGCCAAGCTTGTGCCCATTGCGCACGAAGCAAAAACCCAACCCCAACACATCGTGGGCCGCTGCAATCAATCACGGCTGTGTTCCCGAACGAGCTAGTTGGCATCGACATTGTGGGAGCACTACCAGAAACCCCTAGAGGACATCGTTTTATCCTGGTAATTGTAGACTGTTTTCAGCAAGTGGTGTGAAACAGTACCATTATATAACATAGACGCATGGGGTGTGGCCAACGCGTTCTTCAGTGATTGGGTAGCACGATGGGGATCACCAAACCAGTTGCACTCTGATCGCGGATCAATCTTTGTGAGCATACTCATGTGCGAGTTGTGCCACATTTTTGGCATACGAAAGACGCGGACCACTGCTTACCACCCAGAAGGAAATGGCTTAGTCCGGCGCACGAACCGTACGCTACGAGCATTCCTTAATAGTGAGACACCGAAGTGTTTGCTAGCCTACCGAGTGCCTGCCCATTCATAGACGGGACAAACGCCACACCACATGATGACGGAGCGCGAATTGCAACTGCCTTCGGACACGCTGCTGCCGAAGTCACACCATGAGTCGCTGGTAGAATCTGACCACGTACTCCGGATGCGGTCAAGCATGCTGCGCGCGCATCAGTTAGCGCAAGCACATCTGAAGAGCTCACAGCGCTACCAGAAAGCTTACTTCGACCGCAAGCCTTTCGGAAGCCCATACCAACCCGGTGATGAAGTCTGGACTAAGGCGGTCGTAATACCGACAGCTGTCAAGGCGAAATTCCATCTCAATTGGGCGGGACCGTACGTCGTGGAAGATGTAATGTCAGACTTGACTTATCGTAGCATGAAATCTGGAGAACCAGGTTCCTCCAGGGTTGTTCATTTCAACCGACTAAAGCCGGGGTGCAGAGCTGTGGGTGCTGAGGACAGCGCCATTTAAAAGGGGGGATATTGTAGCAGATTCATATGCGCTAGTATTGCGCACCAGACATCTATGCCGTTTCTTTCCTTTGAAGGGTGGTCAGTTGAAGTAGAATATATGGAGAAAGCACCCCAAAGGAGTAACAGAGAAAATCCACCGGACATTTAACCTTGTTTGTATTATGCTTCCTACCCCCGGTTGACGTAATCTTGCGCATGCACGCCGACTTGCTCCTCGCTTGTGTCTCGCTTGTACCTCCTTGCGCTGCCCTAAGGTGTTACAATACACTTCCGCCCAGGTCCCGTGCCGTTAGTACTAGGTGGTTGTGACAACATTATCCAGCCACCTACGTGGTCGTTTATTTCTCTTTCCAGCTCCGCAGGGCCATTGCGACCTTTCGGATACCGAAGAATCCGGACTCTCGAGCTTCGTGTATATTACAGAAGGGTTTAATCAGTGTCAGCCCTCAGTGCTAAATTTAAATCCACTCCGAGTTTTGAAAATTTAGATTCGGTCATTGTAATCTTCCTCTGGTCCGGCGTTCTAAGCATTTCCGTACCTAAAGCGTATGACGAGCCGTAATAGACACTTAGAGCGGAACACAACATAAATACCACGTAGACGGCTGGATGCTCAGTCGCTTATTGGGAGGGCGATGTATGGAAGGCAGCTAAGGAAGCACGGAAGAGGGAAGACAAAGCGCCGGAGAGGAATAAGAGGGTACGGATAACCGGAAACAAAACCGATCGACCACTTACCTGTTAAGGTTTTACTTGCGGATCGACTTCATCATTACGACTAATTCAAGATTGCAGCACTTAGCAAAGGCCTTAGGGAGTTGACTTAGCTGGAAAGATTAAACTGGTACATTTTTGGACAGCCGTAGTCCAAGGGAGGCGGCAATGCATTCGGGTGTTAGCAATACCAGTTTTAGCAATCTTCAAAAACATAAGCAACAGTACTAGGATAGATACTATAATGAAGGAGGAGAGCTACAGCGCATGAAGCGAAAAATTTCATACGTCGAAGTCACTGTGGCTACGCTGTGCTGGTTCAAACAAATGAAGACAACGAACGCACGAATTTCTGGACCTGGGCTGCAAGAAATTGCTGTTTCTCAATAGAATTTGAGGTTGCAGATTTCCAGGCACCTAATAACTGGCTAGCAAATTTTAAAAACGACATGTAAGTTCCGAAAAAGTTTTGTGTGGTCAATCTAATGAAGTGCCTGAAGAATTGGTTCAAGACTATATGGAAACACTTTCCAACTTCAGCAAGGGCTTCAACAATGACGACATTTTCCACGCTGACGAGTGCGGTCTCATTTTCAAGGTAATGCCTAACAGAAACTTTGTTATAAAGGGTGACAAAAGTAAGAGTGGAAAACATTCCAAACAATTTTTCACAATTCTGTTATGCGCTAATTCAAGTTGGGAGAATCTAAAGCCTATGGGCAGTGGTAAATCTGCTATACCACGTGCATTCAAAAACCTAATTTCTGAAATCCTTCTGGGAACTTGGACATCAAACCGATCTGCGTGGATGAGTGCTTCTATATTTGAGGAGTGGACCAGAAGGATTAACAAAGAAATATGCAGAAGAAACGTTTCACTATCTTAACTATATACATTTGTCCTAGTCACACCAATGTAAAAAACCTCAGGAATATTACCCTTAAATTTCTTCATCTAAACATCATCTCACCAATACAACCTATGGAACAATGGCTCAACAAAATATTCTAAATGCATTATCGAGACCAGCTCATGCAATTGGCTACGGCAAAATTGCATACTTGTGCTTAGCATGCAGAAGGAACTTCACATGTTGTAGCAGTTAGTGCATTGGATTAGTTGCACGGTTCAAATTCCAACCAGAAAAAATAAGCTTTTCAGAAAAGCCGGACTTGTTCATGTCTTCGAGCAGGATGCCGTCGCCTTATTCGACGTTCTATCTCCATTGGCAACATTTGTCGGGATAGATTTTAAAGAGCTGCGTGAGATAGATGATAACCATGTAAACAGCATTGAACCAGACTCAGGTGTTATTTTCCAAGGGTTACTGACTGCAGTATTTGCCTACGGAAAAAAAACATGTGATGCTGGTGGAGAAGAAGGACTAAGTGATGACGATTGGGAAATCACAGAAACTTCAAAGAAAAATGAAACCAGACATCATTATTGCAACTGAAATCATTCGCTGTGGAAAAATGGGAAAGCGTGCGGTGTAGTGTAGCTTGTGCTGAGAACGCCTTTTTCAGTTACATTTGCAGTAAGTGAAAAAAACAGAAAATCTTGCCTAATACTTCAAAAAGGGACTTAACACCACACACTGTGTTCTGATTTATTATAACACCGTATGGTTTAATAGCATTTGCGGTTATGTGTGAACTCGTCCAATGTGTTCGAAACGGTTTTATGAGAAAGTGAAATTATACTATACAACTCAAAACGAGAAACTAGGTTAGCTAAGTTTTGGCATAGAATCTCCGTATGTTGACCATCTCAATAAGGGGAAACTCGTCTATCGCGCCGAGTTATAGATTGCTAGAATTCGCTTCCAGATCGTGTGGTTAGGGAACCTACAATTAAGGGTTTTGCGCGCCAGCTCGATGCTCTTGGGTGGCAACAGCAAACCTTTCCTTTTTCCTAGCTGACTCACCTTCACTTCTCAGTTCTTATTTTATTGACTCAAATATCTTGGTATTCCACTTGCTTAACTCTTACCACTTTCTCTTTTGCCTTCTGCGTTTACTTTTTTCTCTTTCTTACTTCACGTAACCGACCCAGCAGGGACTGCTAGGGTAGGATACGTAGGCATTAATTGGTTGGACAGGGTGTGATGCGGTCTTTGTTTTAGGTCCATCAGTATTTCAAAGTTCGCTAACTCCTGGTTCAACGACCCGCCGAAGAAGGAACACTCACGGGATAATCCTATCGTTCCAGTCCCGCTTGAACTTGAACTTGAACTTCCGTACCTGCCTTGAAAAACAACGTAAGTGCAAATTTGGGTTCATTAGAAGTTCCAGCGATTGATCTACCAAACGTAGAAACGCAGTCGGTTACTTAACCGTTATACGATGAGGCTTTGCGCGTGTATTTGCGCACGAAAGCTGAAAAAACAGCTCGAAGTGTGGGACCGTGCTTGGAAGGAACTTATTCCGTGTAGCTTGGTTCAGATGATAGATTAATTAGTACCATCCGAATGAGGGTTGGCTTGTTGTGCTGTCGGGAAACGAACAGCAGTTACGGCACATTGAAGCAAAGAGTAAAATCAATGCAACATCACGGCCTCCGAGATCAGGGTCGTTGAATCGTTGGAAGTTAGGCAAAGCATTCTGTAGACATAACGGTATGCCGATAAATTCGTATAGAACAAGGCGTGCATGTATGGCAGTTTTAAATCAAACAAATAAATAAGCGGTACCACCTCGATAATTGTTGGGCGGACCCTGGGATACTAGTCGGTAAACAATGACGCTTAAGACGTGTCAAATACGAGACAGTATAGAAGTCGGAGGTGACTGAACACAACGTATATTGTGCAGGCTACAAAAACAGGAAGTGAATTAACCAGAGCGAGAAACGTGCAGCAAGGTACTCAACAAAACGGTTTGTGTCAACAGATGTGTTGTCAGTAAACCAAGTGGACGTTTTGAAGGTTTAAGCAACCGTAAAATCTACTGTTGCAAAATACTGAAAGAGCGTGTTTCCTCGTACACTACAAGGGCCTTCCCCTGGAAGGCTGAAGGATGGAAGCCTTCGATGGAGCTGTTAGTGGGGGAAAACGGTAGGTAAGGAAGGGTGCGCATAGTTGCATGGGCGTGAGTAATAGCTTCCAAAGTGCAATGTGTAGCAGAGTTCGCTAGGTCCAGCTTTTTGTTATTTATTATTCATGATGATCATGTGGATCAGAGTGCTTCATCGGTGGGCCGTCAGGGCGGGGTGCCCGGACTGCAGAAAACTGGCTGGTCCAGAAAACAGGCCGACAGGACCTTTCCTTTGCTGCAAACCCGGCGGTGCGCTTGGAAGGTGTCATTCCCCCACCGCACTCCAGTCCACTGTCCTCGTCCCATGGGGAAATCCAGGCGTCCTCGTCCCATGGAGAAATCCGGGCGTCATCGTCCCACGAAGAAACCCGGCGTCCTCGTCGGCAACGCCTAGCTAGGCGTTTGGGGACCAACCCGTTAGTGGCTCTCTACAGCCGAGGGCGACTGATTGTTCTTTGGGTCATGAAGGGGGCGTTGGGTAGGCTGGCGAGTCACTCAGCGGTTGTGTTCAGCAGGTTGGCGAGTCACTCGAGGGTTGCTTGGCAGTTCTGCGGCTGAGTTTCTGGAAGGTAGAACTCAGCGGGGGTGAGCAAGGGTCGGGGAATTGGCTTGAGGCCGGAGAGGGTACATGGCACGCATGATAAAAACAAATACGCTTTTATGTTTTCAAAATATTTTGGTTTTTTGCCGATTTTGCAAAATGTTTGTGAACAGGATGCACGATAAGTACTAAAATGATAAAGGCGTGTTAATGGAAATAGCAAACGTTTACAAAATCTGAAAAACGGTCGGAGGTTTCACCTGTCTACCGCGTTGGTTGGTTGCCTGGGGTTGAGGGTCAAGGGGTACGGTGTGTTTCAGGATATCTAGTGCTCGGGAAGTCACAGCAGGTGCGGGTGTTTGTGCGAAAGCATCATGATTGGTTGCAAGTGGCTCGTCAAAGAAAGACACTTTCAGGCGGTCGGAGTCACGCTACAGGCATCTAACCGGAATAAAATAGCGACCTATGGTCAGAAGCTCTGTACTCTAAGACTTGGCCAATGAGGAAAATTTCCTTTCGCCTTACCATCGCTGATGTCTAGAAGCCTATACATGACATCGACTTCCTCAGCAACTTCAGCATTTTGTTTGACTTATGCTGCAGAAAGCTACGGGCTGATAGTCATTCGCTAGCTGTCCCTTATCAGGCTGCCACATTTAATTCCGTCGGATTTCGCGTACTCATCCCACACCGTGCGCACTAATCGTCATTTCCGCAGTAATGTCCATCTTCGGTTCGAATGAATACCGTCATAGCTAAGCCCAAAAACGAACTTTGTCACCATGTCGTCACTACCTGTCCACCTGTGTCTGCGAAATCAAGACGCCTTCCAACAGACAAACTGCAAGCTGCCAAACGGGAATGCGAGCACAGTCAATCCCAGTATAGTCCACCCCTCTAACAGCTGTTGAGGTTTTACCCCTCATTTGGTACCAAAAAGGACGGGTGCTTGGAGCCTATGCTGAGAACATCGAACTCCAAACAGCAGTACCGTCCCTGATTAATAGCCAATTCCCAATTTTCAGGATTTTTCAATGAGATTAGTCTGAAAGTCCATCTTTCCCATGATTGATCTCGTTCGAAAGCATCAGCAAATTTCAGTGACACTTGAAGACGTTACAAAAACGGTTGTTATCATACCTTCCGGGTTATACGTGTGCAATCGTATAACTTACGGCCTCCGCAACGCTGCACAAGCTTTCCAACATTTCACGGACCACGTCCCGCGTGGCCTAGGCTTTGTTTCTTTGCCTACATCGACGGTGCCTAAATAGCTAGTGTCACGCCATAAAAACAGTCGAAGCATCTTCTATAGGATTTTGAGCGTTTCGAGCATCATGGAATTACCATAGGTCATCATAATTGCGCTTGGTCAACAATAGGTCGATTTTCTTGCCCACAGTATCGATACTAAAAGCATCAGTCTCATTCCAGAGAAGACCAAACCAATCATAAACAACTCCCCGCCTTAATCAGTTAAAAACCTATACCGTTTCCTCGGCATGATCAGTTATTATGGAAGGTTCATTCACAACTGTACTACCATTCTTCAGTCACCAAATGATTTCCTTAAAGTTAATCTGGAGGTTTACGCCTAATCCGGAAGCCAAAACAGCGTTTGTTGCCATCGTAGAAGCTAAGACAGGCAACTTCCCTGCACTACTTGCAAACGGAAGAGACAGCCGCTCTGATTTGTGAAACCGACGCCTCACAAGCCGCTGTGGGTTATGTTTTACAGCAACCCATCGGCAGTGGTGTTCAACCATTGTATTAAATTTCTCATAAGCCACAGCCAGCAAAGGCCACATACAACACATTCGGTCGCGAATTTCTCGCAATCTACTTGGCTGCCGAGCGTTTTCTTTATATATGTGGATCACACGCTTGACGTGCGTGCTTTCGGTTCATTTGGAGTAACCCTCTCTAACTTATCTCTATCTTCTCGCAGCGTAGTCACTGTACGCTCATTCGAATAGGATTTACTAGCGCTACACAGTGGTCTATCATATGTGGAGTTATCTTATACCACTAAAGTTTTAACCATCACTAACCGACTTGCTTGTCATCCACGATTGAACACAAGTGAATAACTCAATCACTTTGTGCCCATTGCCCTTCTGTGTACTACCATTCGGAGCAGAATTCTCGAGGCAGTCCGAA